CACAAGCCAAATCCATCATACTGGATTGGCTGCTCACTTTAAACTACTCTGATACCGAGAACCTTCTGAAGATAAATTCATAACAAATCACTACTATAAAAAAACTGGATTATGATACTGTGATATATTTACATATTATTAATATACTCGTGCCATATATATTTACATACAAGTAATATATGTCCATAGTTATATTCCCTTTATTATCATTTATAAACTTATTTTTCTCTTACATTTAGTTATAGTCAAATTTATATATGAGTAACTTTTAAGTAAATGTGCGTTATAGACGCTGCCCTGAGTGTGGGTTTCTGTAATTTTATGTATGGATACGGATAGTATATATGAATTTTCGGTGGCCACGATACAGGCATTGCCTAGTGTGGCCATCAACAGATGAACTCGAATAACCAATATATAATAACTTAACATAACAACTATGTTTAATTTTCTGTCATGTATAATTTTAAGTTATTGTCAAAAGTTATTTGTCTTTGTGTAATCTTTACTGTTAATAATAAATATTTTCATTTTCATTTTTCATTTTCATAGACATTTTGAATTGCGTTTGTAGTTGCGTTGTCTACCTTTAATAGGAAGATAGGATACGTACAAGGAGGATTTTTCCACTACCTATTTCTTGTAATTTTTCTAAGACAGTTTTCTTAATACTTCTACGGTTGGTCTTTTTCCATGCAAACACGGTATTTTTACACAATGTACACGGCCGGGTATAATGACCGGCAAAATATTTGAACAAAAAGCGGTGTAGTGGGCGAAGGTTCGCGCACGTACAATTTTAGACAAAATAATTGCCATATTTTAAGTATTTGTATTAATTAGGAATGAAAAAATATAGTTTCTTTAGATAATTCTTCTTTCATGAAACAATGTACCATTTTACTGGCTTGTCTTTTTAGAACATTGTTACTTTTTCGTGGCATACTCAACTTAAAGGTCGAAACAATAATAATCAAATAAGACTTAACATTAACAACAACAGAAAAGTAGTTACAAACAGTTATTACCGAAAACAAGTAACAACGAAATTGGGTCAAAAAAACTGGAGATAAGTGTAATCGGGAGTAAACGGAATACGGGGAAAGAAGCGGAACGCAAAGGTCGACTGATTAACCAATAGCAAGCGCAACTAAGTATTGTTCAAGATGTTTGCCGGCGCTATAAAAATGTAAATTGTGAACCCTGGTGCAGGAGGAGCAGTACGCGCGCTG